TTATTCGTCAACCAGGCACTGTAATAGGTAGGGTCATGTTAGGAGTCGGGTGTCCCTTCCCTTTGGGTATAGCCGACGGACAGAGTGTCCCTGAGGTAATTGAAAAAACGACTTAACAGAAGAAACTTTACCTCCTTTACCTGTTTTTGCTTTTTACACACTGCAGCCTAAACATGATAAACGTGTTTTTTTTTTTTTTTTTTTTTTTTTTTTTTTTTTTTTTTTTTTTTTTTTTTTTTTTTTTTTTTTTTTTTTTTTTTTTTTTTTTTTTATACTCTCATGACAGTACCCCGAGTGATTTGACTTTGCCGAGAAGGAGCGTCAATGGAATATTGTATTGTTAGTTTACTTCGGAACGTTTTAAGTGTTTACACGGTGAACTTCCAGGAGACACGTAACATACAAACCGTCCTATCGTCTCTCATTACCTGCTACGACGTATTTCTACCTATCAGTTGCTGTTACACCGGCCACCAGTTAGGACACCAATCCGGGTTGTTGGAGGTTTGACTGTTGGAAGTGTTTCGTCACCCATTATTACAACTGAGGACCGACACGCCTACTTGATTTCGTGTAATTACTACATACGACCCCGATTTCGGTTGTGGTTCTTTATCGACATACCAAAAAGTTATACTCAAAGTATTTGTCTGGTCGTCTCGTGATATGACTTACTTACCAGGTTTACACCTTTGTTGACTTTGGTGGTTCTGTAAAGAATTCCCCGGGGGATAATACCGATTAAAGGTCCAAAATATAGACAACAAAACATATGAGTATGAAACTGGTACAAATGTGCGAAATTACAATTAATTTTTTCGAGAATTAAAAGAGTAGTGACACGGAACGTTCGGTGGAGAAAAGTGAGGACGACGAGTTTTGGTCTCGATTTCAGGCCGAAGACTAACCAATCGAACCGGCCGAGCACAACACTTACCAGTTGGTGAAGCTTTACAAGGAGGGGAATCGGATAGTACAGTCTTAGACTCCACCTCACGATCGGTTCGCGTTCCACTCCTCAGCGTTTTGCATTACTACAGTCAAAAACGATGAGTTTAATTTGTTTCCTCCAGGTTAAGCTTACAAAGTTCCGTGGACCGAAACGTATGGTAATGTACTGTTTTGTGTGTGATGAACTTTCCTTTTTGTGTGGGTTTGACAGTGAAAAGGAGAAAGATGGGAGGAAATGAGAGGGTGCAGGAGTGTGCGACTGCAGGTCATCACAAAAAAGGAGAGTGCCATACTATGTACACACACACACACACACACACACACACACACACATCAGTACCTCTATTCTTGTAATAGTCCTCATTAATGTTACACGTCACACTACCCCTCATCTCTTGAGTGGGGAATGGAAGTGTTCTGGTTACTTATATATATATATGTTAGTCATATATTTCAGAAGGCTTTGGTTGAATGCATGTCATCTGTCCAACAATCTTGGAAGCCAACAGCCAAAGTCTGATGACTATTTAGCTTTTTATTACTTTAAAACTATAGCTTTTCTTTTTACTTCAAATCCATTCTCAGATCTCGGGCTGGAAAATTACAAAAAGCAAGTCCATCTATTACATCAACAACCCAGAAATATAGCCCCTTGTCGCCAGAGGTGTATTGCTATCCAACTCTAACACTAACCATGACCTCAACTTAACATAACCCTTCTGACTGTGACCTTTAGACCCAGTCTGACTCACAGAGAGCTCGATGAACAGGAGGCTGGACAAACAGTCCTCAGGGTGTAAATGGGCTTCTTTTCAACCCTCACAGAGAATGTAACATCGTCACCAGCTTTTTGTATACAAGAATGCAACCCAGCCAAGTCTTAAGTTCCTCTGTACTTCCTCTTGTCTGGCTGCTCTTGGCTTGCTGTTGAAATTAGAGCTGCTGTTTCAGCAATGTACTGAACTCATTTGTTTGTTGTTTTTTCCGTAGGGACAAACCGATGTTGGTAACCTGATTTGAACAGTCATGAGAAGAGGACATCTGAACCACAGAGTTAGTAAAAAAAACAAGGCTTACAAAACGTGTTCCACCCAGCTAAGTGTTATGTCATCCTAAATATCCAAAACACAATTATTTGTATTCTTATTTATTTTTTCAATGAAAGAAAGAAACACATAAAGAAACAGAAACCTTCTGCTCACATGATGTGAGTGATGTCATTATGATTTAACTGACCACTTTTAGATCATGAACACATATAGTATAATTATTTAATCCCTTAGCCTTTCCTTTGTTGGGATTTTTACCTATTAAAAATAGTTAGCTCTTTATAATATTTGATCGACCAATTTGAATTTTTTGTATGTAACCATTTCTAATCAATCCACTAACAAAACAATACACCTCAGGTTGATATTAATTCACATTTGTAATACTTTGTTTCTTATTTTGTCATCTTTCTAGACACTAATGCAGTGTTCTGCTGTATTCCTGTGTCACATTTCTAGGATGGAAACTAACAATCTTTCAGGTGTTTACTGGTTCAAAGGAAGCAGAATCGGAGTCTGCTAAACGACATGTTATTAACTAGTCGTTAAGATCATGATATTCTGCTGAAATGAACTCACCAGAGAAGGAGAGCAGCAGAGCAGAGCAGAGCAGCAGGGTCTTCATGTCTCCGGTGTGTGTATGTGTCTCTGTGGGAGGCAGGTGTGTGATTCTCACATTATGTTTTTCCTTTCATACACAACCTGTTGAGCTGGCTGTAGCCGCCCTCTGATTGGTTGCTTTGTAAAAACAAGACTCATCTAAGCCTCAAGATAACACAACCGGATCAGAGCAGCCAGGAAGAACAAATATCCAGACATGAGACTGTGATGTAGAGAGCAGGCTGCTGTCTGAAGATAACTATATTCAACAATTTAGTGTGAGTAAGCCAACACAGTCAACATGTGAAATTGTTTTGCATTGGGAGCTGGGTATGAAAATACTGTAGAGCACACACACACACACACACACACACACACACACACACACACACACACACACACACACACACACACACACACTTGTCATTACAGTATTAAGGCTCAGATTTAAATTATTTCAACTCTGATCCCGATTGCCTCTGACCTTTCAACTTTCAACCAATTAGAGGACAGCTAAATGAAGCGGCTTAAGCTACTGTAGCAGGGCAGGAATAGAAACTTAACTTTCTGCCTACTTGAATGGTAAAAATAAAAACAGTGCCTGGAGCTTAAATGTCAGTATAATGAGTAACACATCTATATCCAAGCAGATAAGAAAGTAAATAATACGACTGGCTCAATGAATGTCCCGCTTTATTTTCCCTTTTTTAAAATGTATTAACAATGTATTTATTTCATTTTATATCTATATTTGTTTGTGTTGTTGTAGGTTTGGGGAATACAAACAGTTCACCCTTTACACTGTGGCAGGGTTAGAGCTGCTTCATGTCACAACACACAAGAGGACATAAGATCCGGTAGGGGGGGTAATGTGTGTGTATCATTGGGTTAACTTATAAATGATATATATTTATAATAATAATACATGAAATGTATATAGCGCTTTTCCATGGTGCTCAAAGCGCTTATATGGAATAGTTAAATAAATAATTAACAAAGAAACAGAAATGATGTAGAAACTGTAACTGAAACAGGAGTTAGAAATCTTGGATTAACAAGTATGTTAAATACAGAGGCTGGAACGAGACCAAGAAGGTCCACATTTGAAGTCTGCCTGCCCCCTAACACCTGCAACCCAGATGCAAATCATTTATATAATAAAGAGAATTAAAAGCAATGGCAATATCCAGAACAAACTAAACATCTTCAAAAAGGGAAGGGTAAAATACATATTAAATATAGTAAATCAAGAATAAATAGATACAAAACTAAATACAAAAAAGTAAATATTTAAGGGCTGAATACAAGCAGTTTGTCAGGTTGAGGTGGTCACATTGTGACAAAGTTCCCCTCCTCCATCCTGACGCATCGCACACCTGTACCACATAATGCAATAAAACAGTCCTGACATAAAATGTACTTTAACAAAGCTTATAATTTTCAGTTTGTATTGCACTATGGCATGTGGTATTTCAAGGGATGTGTGGGAATATGGGGCAATGAAATTGTGGAAGTGAAATATAACTAAATATGATAACAACCTAAAGGAGGGTCCTTTATTGAGGCCTTGTTCGGCAGAGGGACCTGGTTTCAGATCAAATTTTGATAATTAATTATTTATTAATTTAAGTGTGGGGGCGGTGTTTTTTTTTGGTTGATGTAAGAAGAACATAATAGACAAGACAAACATATTTTTTGCAATCTAATGTTTTGTTTTTAGTGTTCTATTCCTAAATTTAAAAAAAATCATAATACTGAATAAAAGTTGGAATTGCTATAACATGTATCATTTTTATAATGGCAATTAGAACAATTGAAAATCCTCAAAATATATGATACATTAATGTATTTCTTTCAGGTAGTTATCAGACAACTGATTAATGAGCTAGCTATATAAATATAAAATATAAAATGATTTTCTTACCGTTAAATACTTTGGAAATACTTCGCTGCAGGGATACTGTATGATTTTCGACAGCTAAAATG